AGATATTTGATTCTTGCTGTGTCTGGAAATTTAAAAAAAAAGATTTCTCTTAAACCCTAACCTTAAAATATATTATATTGGGTCTGAGTATTATTGCTGGAATTAACTACCTAGTGTCAAATAGTGTTATGTAAGATCTTTTAGCCTTCTTCAAACCATCCGTGTTGTGTCTTCTTTGTTTGTATTTATGCATATTTTCCTTATAAAATCTCATGTAAACAAGGCTGGACATGAACTTGCTTTGTAGCTGAGGAGGACTTTGAACTTCTGTTTTAACCTCTCATACACTGTAATTTTAGGCCAGCCCCACCATCCTTAGATTTTATCTTCTATGCATCTTCTTAATTTACTAGTAGTTCTAGTTTTTGTGAATGAATATATTCATATAGTTTTAATCAGCTATCATTTATCATCATTTTCCATGCGTTAAACTTTGGTGTATGTGGTGAGTGAAGAAAATTTTGCTAAATCAAAGGCAGCTAAAGCTGTACTACGTTTTCCAATTTCTTCCTAAGTCAAATTGACTAATGACAGATTACCACCTAATACTAGCTATTATACAAATGTAATTCCTTTTTATTTCATGGTTGACATCATAACTGATGTCATTATTTGGGAAAAATAAGCTATCATCCATTCTTAATTTCATTCAAAATACAATGTCTCTTTCCTGGAAAAAAAATTCTCTTTTCTGCGATTTGTTACGCATCTAAGGAGTGTTAATATATGTCCACAAATATTTGAATGTCTAATCTAACATATGCAAGACCCTCTACTAGCTGCTTATCAAGGTACAATATTTGACTCTTTTCCCCATGCTATTACTCATACTTGCCTTCTCGGTGATTTTTGCCTTCCAAAGCATCTAGTCATATAATTATCAAATTGAACTCTATTTCGAAGTTTTGATAAATACTATTGTAATGCCATATTATTCTGTGGTCATAAATGTATCATTTTTATCACCAATGAGAAGATTTAGAGGGTAAAAGGTAGAGGCTTTAGATAAATCAGTTAGGGCACTTAACTAATATATAAATAACATAATCAAGTGTAAGATAGATAGATAGATAGATAGATAGATAGATAGATAGATAGATAGATAGTTTGTTAAATTGATAGATTGATATAGCTTCAGTTTAAATGGTAAGTATTGTCAGTAAAGGACATGTTAAAATGTGTGCAAAGACTGTCAATATGCAGTATTGCATGAGCAATTGTAATAATTGGAACTTTAGTCTAACATTGAGAATCTTAATAAGCAGAAGCTAATAGCATCTTTGTTAGAAAAAAATATGCAGTATTGGCATACAAGAAAATCACCAACCAAACCTACTTGAATGATATAACAAAATTCAGAGTTACAGGTAATATTTTCTTATGTTCATACTTACAACTAGGATCTTTCATTCTAACTTTCTACAACTTAGAAAAATACTCACAACAATTTTCTTACGTTTCCAGATTTAAAAAGTGAAGAACTGAAAAATAGGCAGATCACTTCACCCCGAAAATTATGTTTGACTGAAATCATTGCTAAACTGTACACAATCTGCCTCTGCTGTCTTTCTTAGTCCTTGATGTAGCCTACTTTTGTTTATGTCACAGCCAATCTGAAGCACATTCATCTTCTCACAATCCCTGAAGCAAAATGAACAATCAAACACTAACCAATTCTATACCAATGCCTACTTCAACTTCTAAAGTTTTTTATTTTTTATTTTTATTTTTCAATCAAGAAGTAGAGAGAGACAGTAGCAGAAAGCTGAGAACACACATACACACTACACATGAGATGAGACTATAAACACAGAAGGTCTGCCCTTAGTGATGGAATGTTTTCAGCAAACCACATTTTATAAGACCGCCCAGTTCTTTCAATGAGAGAACAAGTGTTAAATACCTGAGCCTATGGGGGTGTTTCTCATTCAAAGCATCACACATACATAGTTGCAGTGCAATGACAACACACTTTTCCTAGGATGTTTTGGAGAATTAAATCATTCATGCAGAAAAATGTCTGGCAGAAAATCCTCAATAAATGTTAACTGCTGTTATTGCTGTAACTATTCTTACTAAAATATACATATTAGCTATACCATTTCTCCTGAAGGCAATATAAAAAACTGAACAAAAGCAAATTCATACTCTGAGATTGTATATTAAGAATTGAAATATAGAGTCAAGACAGAATAAAGTATAAATGTGCAAAGGTTTTATTAGCACTTAAACAAGACTGAAAGCTTACTCATATATGGCTAAAGTTCACATTCCTTATTGATTTTGGACCAATGCCACCTTGGTGGCTTGGTTCCTGCAGGATCTGTACACATTCCAACAGAGCAGAGACATGTTGACTAGAAGCTGAAAACCCACCATGAATATAGATGGCATTATCCATTAGACAAGGGTGCAAGACTGAATAAAATAAGAAAAGGGTAAAAATGCAGATGAGCATAAGCATTGTTTTCTCCTGACTTCCTGCCTGTAAATACAATGTGACCAACCACCTATTATTCCCACTACCACGCTTTCCCTATTATGATGAACTATACCCTCAACCTTTCTGCAATGTAGCCCTTTCTCTCTTAAGCTTGCTTTTGGTGCACTATGTGATCACAAAAACAACAAAGTAGTTAATATAGTAGGCAGTTCCATAAATGTATATGGTAATACACAAATATCCAGAGCACTCTAGCAGACCAGTTTTGCATAAACTGAAAGAATAAATGGTGTCAGAGAGATGGAGACAAATTGTGGCATAATACACACAGGAACTTGATTTTCTATACATGTATACATAGAGGGACTTGCACATGTTGGACACAGACTTTAACGTGATTAGCTTCCAGTCTTCTTTACTTTATATGGACTATGTGAACCGTTTCTTGTGTAACATTGCTGTAACTATAAAAACATATCTGTACAATCTGTAAACTAGTTCTCATATAACTGCTCTCTATTATTCTTTAGGTCTCTTTCCTGTGTGTTCTCTTTTATATATAAGTAAACACACTGAAACACTAGTGTATTTATTTTCTCTATTGAGAAACTTTAATTAAATATTGCAGTTGTTAAGTTTAAAGGTTTTATCCTTCCAGGAAACTTCTCTAAACAGTAATATCTCTTTGCCTATCTAGAATTGTGCCTGTTTTATTGCCTACAGTACTTTTCACATGTCTGTGTCATGTTTTTCCCAAATGTATGTAAGCATCTTAAAATAGGTAGTGTGCTTAGTATTTGCCAAGAGAGTACTGAAGAAACATGAAAATAATTTGAGTACTTTAAACAAAATAGCCCAATGTGATAAGAGCTGTGTACATACTGTAGCAAGGCAATTGTCACTTCGTTTACTTTATATATCTTCCTGGAAAGACTTTGAAACAATAGAATTTGTAGAAGTTAATCGTTCACATAGATAGCGGCAGACCTATAGGTAATAGGCAAGTCACTGTCAAAGGAGAGCCTGAGAAGTGTGTTGTTTCACTACTGTAGCCATCATCATAACTTACCCAGAAATTCATGTGGAGCTTTCAAATGTATAATATAGACATTTCTTATAAATGTGACAAACTATCTTGCAGAAGTAATTTAAGGGAGGCAAGGGTTATTTGGCTTATGTTTTCCGATTTAAGTCCATCATGGTATGGAAAGGCATGGCAGGGCAGATCAGTTAGTGGTGCTTGTGTGTATGTAGCAAAGGCTGTCCACACCACAGTAGACCAGGAAGCAAAATTTGTAACAGTTGTACCCTCCCAAATGCTGTACCCAGTGAGTCCCTTCCCCCAGCTCAGGGATACTTCTAAGGTACCATAACTTTCTAAAATTGTGCCAACACCTAGAGAACATGTACTTGAAAATAAACACATGGGGCATAACAGAAGGTACAATAGAAGGGTATTCTATGTTTTAAAACAGTTCCTCCCTGTTGCAATTGTATGTGGAGCTCCAGGAAGACTGAGATAGAAGGATCAAAAGTTTTAGACTAACTGTGGCTACAAAATGAGGACATATTTAAAACAAAAGGACTTTTGTTCATGCTTTCAGTGAATGTCATACTGCTTGGAGATATCTCAGTGCCTAGTCAGTGCTCAGCATTTGTATTTAAGAAACCAAGCCAAATGTGCCAAATTGAGTATGATTAGCATGTTTAATAATTTCTATTCATTGTGTGTGCAAAAAATGCTCCTGGGTGCCTAGTCTCCACCCATCCCTTTCTCTGATTTCATTTGCTAAATTAAAACTAATTAAATAATTTGGAACTAAAGGAAATTCAAACATCAAAATAATTATTATTGGAGTTATACCAAAGAGAATTTGAAATGTGCATCAGGACTCTAACAAAAAATGTAGTTAAAACACAAGTTGAACTGTTTTGAATAAAACCAACAATAAAATTTTGAATAATGTATTAACACCAACATCTGGCATGCAGGTGAAAAATCTTTAGGACATATTTAAATATTCACCAAATTTTTTTAATACAAATCATAACCTCTAAAATATGAAATGATTCATCCCTGTTAATCCTCTGACTACAACATTATGCTGGCAGATAATTTCTTTGGAAAAAATAGTTATATTTTGGCCATCATGTATACACTCTATGTATGGTGAGATATGCACTTAACTCAATTTGATATGTATCAATTTTTCTACTTCGTCTCAGAAACAAATTTTGTCCATTTGTATGCTACGAATGACCAAAGACTTTGCAATTAATATATAGAAGCTGTTCACACTTAGCTGAATTTTATTTAGGTTATAATCATGATTCTGTTTCTTGTTTAACAAACCTGACCTCTTTTGATTATTTTAAACTTTACCTAAATATTTCTTAGAAAGCTTAAAACAAACAAAAGCAGTATATTTTAAATGTCAGAGGGATCTAGCTGAGTGTATATTTGTGAACTTGGATTTTTGTCCATGAATTTATCCCCAATAAAATGATGAAAGAACATTATAAAAAGATGTTCTCATAGAGATTCCTTATCTTACAGATGAGCACAGTGAAAATGTTACGGCCTCGTCTCATGAGCATCCTTTTCAAACTCACCTTTGAAGAACATGTCAACAACATCAAACCAAGCATCATAGCAGTAACTCTTGCATGTGAAGAACTGAAGAAGAGTGAAAGCTTTAACAGACTCTTAGAGTTGATTCTTCTAGTTGGAAACTACATGAACTCAGGCTCAAGGAATGCCCAGTCTCTGGGTTTTAAGATCAACTTTCTGTGTAAGGTAATACACCATTTTATAGTATTAATTTATAACATTAAGTTTTGGAATGTGATCTGAAATTACCTAAATGGAAATAATCTGTCAATTCTAAATCATATGTAGTAGGAGTGATGTTGATAGCATATAAACTATATATTGAGTAAAATAAATATATTTAAATATTTTTGCAACAAAATTCAAAACACTAAAGTCTTTTTTGCTCATGTCTTTACGATTGAATCTTACTAGGGATTAGGTACCATATAAAATTTGTCTAGATAAAATAGATTTATTCTAATATTCTACTCTCTTTGGGGTTATTTTATGTCTCCAGAATGTGTTTTGAAGACCTAAGTTAGATAAGGAAATGAACCAAGAATTTTTCTTCAGATATGGTTTGATTATTCTATTCTATGAAAATAAAACTCTTTATTTCTTGTTAATGTTGAGCCACTAAGAACACACTGATTATCACGATATAAGCTTAAACCTTTAAAAATGCAATATTAATGTTACTGCTTTGCCTGGACAGTTCTATTATTTTTGAGACTTATGAAAAGGAAACAAAGAAACAGAGAATACCCAAAGTGATCATATGTGTCCAAGTAGGGCAAGCCAACTTATTTAAGGAAAAGATCTGTCTGTTATACACGGACAACTGAAAAGATTCTGAGGTGAAGCCCTTTGAGGAAGCTTGAGATGAAAATGTGTCTGAAGAGAAGTAATTTTTCTTTGACAACTCCCCGAGCTTTCACTGTTTATTCTGCTTTCATATTTGAAAACACTGCAGAGGTTTGGCTACTTCTAGACACATATTTTAACAATCTCACATGAGTATAAACTTCCTTATTTTCATACGTTAAACTATGCAAGTTGCAAATCAAGAAACTATCATTTTGATATGTATGAAAAATGATTTGACTGTGATAATTGTAACATATGTGTGTATGAGATAGCATGTATAAATGATAATAGTGATATATAATCATATATATAATGAGATTTTGACTATCTCTTTATTCCTGATATTTCTTAGAGAGATACAAATAAGGTAATAACAACAAAATAGACTAGATAATTTAAGAATGATAGATTTTGTCAAGAATAGTTTTTATTCTGTCTTCTTGTAGTAGTAGGGAACACATCATTTCCTCAAATAACACCATGTAGAATAAGGTAGTATTTATAATAAATAAGAATAATTTTATTTGTATTTATAAGGTAAAACTTTTATAGGCTTTTTCATTCAATTATAGGCCATGTATCCCATCCTACTAAGATCATGACTTACTAATATACTTCTTAGTTTGAGTGTATTCTCTATTTATAGTTTGTGAATCTACACATTTAGTTTACTATTAGGAAAATATTGAATATTAAATAAAATATCAATAAAGTATCAGAAATTTATATCATATATATTTCTATCATACTTTACACATAATATTTTTAAGTATATATAAAAATATTAAGCAAATTATTCAAATTTTAACAACTATGAGACTTTCAAACTGCTTTAGTTTTACCTTATTCAAATGTATTATGTAAAATGACTATCTTGAAAATAACATGAACAACTCCTATATATAAAAGAACAAAAGATTATACTCATCTCACAGAAAAATTTTATACTTATGACTCATATTTTGGAGAGAGAGATTTCTTCCTGTCATCTACCTGTCAAATAAAAGTTTTTCCATATAGCACTGATCTGACATCTATCACTAGAGGTATGCTCAAAGGATTTAGCACAAAGATTTTTGCCAACTTCAAATAAAATAAAAAATCGTCTTGGGGGAAATACTATCATGTAGTAATAGGTGTTCTAAAGGAAAAAGAAGTAAAGGATTTACAATATTCCCCCTCACTTTTCAGTTGGATTTTTATCTTCTGGGAAATACTTTGGGGAAAATACATGTCATTAATAAAGAGAAATATCATATACATGCATGATACTCCCACAATGTTTAAAAAGAATAAGCTGTTCCTAGAATACAAAGGATTCTGGGTAGATGTAACTGTCTAAAATGACAGAAATTTTACTGAAGTGCATAGAAATAATTAGCTTAGGTCTGTAATATTTTAAAGGTGGAATTAACTTACCACTGATTCAAGATTAGCTGGAATTGCTGTTCAACTTGATTTATAAAAGACTACTTGGATGATTTTCTTTCTTTAACAAATTGCAGATGGATTTCCTTCTGAAAAATACTGATTACAGTTCAAAAGTGATATCATTTCTCACCTAAAGTTTTCTAATGATAAATCTTTTTCTTTGATTTAAAATTGCCTTCTACTGCTTTTTACAAGAAACTCTAAAACACATTAAAATATTCATCTCCTGAAAAAGGAGGCATTATATAAGCAATTAAACATTGTCAGATGTGTTTCAATGCATAATATAAAATATTTGGATGCTCAAAATTCACTACTATGATATTTAGGAATAAAAGGAAAACAAATGAGTTAACCAAAATGCCAAGTAACATGAACAGATATGGTGACTATAAGGTGCTTTGTTAATTTAAGTCGTGAATTTTCTCTTGTGAATAACCAAACTGGTGTCCCCTACTAAAACATATCCATTTAAATCAGTGGTTTTCTACATATAGGTCGTGACACCTTCGGAGGTTGCTTAAACCCAGCAGAAATCACAGATGTTTACATTATGATTCACATAGCTATATTACAGTTATGAAACAGCCATGGAAATGATGTATTAAATGGTAGCAACATTAAGAAGTTTGAGAAACACTGATTTAAATGAAGCTGAACTTACAATGCAAGACTGTACTGTGCTTTTCTGTTAGCCATTGGAATTCTAAGGAATTCCAATGATGCACTTCAGGCATACTTCTTATTTTGTTTTCAGTGTGTTATAGTGAATATATTATACGTACACTGAAAATATTCAGAAATACCAAGCGTTCGTTCTCTGTTTATTTATCTGTGTTAGCATATAAATATGGATCTTTAGAAGGTTATAACCAAAAGTGACTTTGTTAGTTTGAATATGATTGGCCCAGGTAGTGGCACTATTTAGTTTGGCCTTATTGGTGTAAGCATGGCCTTGTTGAAGGAAGTGTGTCACTGTAGGGGTGGACTTTGAGACTCTCCTAGCTGACTGGGAGACAGTGAGTACTTTCCTGGCTGCAGTTGAATGAAGATGTAGAACTGTCAGCTCCTTCACAAGTACCGTATCTGCCTGGACACTACCATGTTTCCAGCCTTGGATATAATGAACTGAACCTCTGAACCTATGAGCAACCCCTAATTAAATATTGTCCTTTATAAGGGTTGTCTTGGTCATGATGCCTCTTCAGAGCAATGGAAACCCTAACTAAAACATTGACTATCTGATTCAAGAGAAAAGTTGAATTTGTTGGTAAGATCTGAGATAAGTCAGCCAGAAAATAGAGGAAAGGTAAAGAAGTTGATCTTTAAAGGAACAGCTATGTGCTAAAGATGGTTCAGTGTTTTTAACAACACTGGGAGTTCTTCCAGAGGATCCTGGTTAAATTTCCTTCACCCAAATAGTAGCTCAAAACCCATTTCTTATTATTAAATATATCCCTAAAGAATATTCCCACAGTATGTGGCAGTAAAATTTGTAAATAATCCAGAAAAAATCTGATAGAATACAGTCTACTTAAGTGGCATGTAAATTCACAGTCTCTAATCATTTTTATGCAAAAAAACTGTGAATTATATCATAAATGTTAGAATGTTAGCATAAAATGATAGTAAAGCACAAAAACAAAAATATAAAAACCTAATGCTCAGAGAGGTGAATATTTAAATCAGTGGATTAGACAGGCTTGGTTTAAATAAAATAAAATTATTTTCTCATGTTTTACAAGACCATATTTCAAAGACCAGGATACTGGTTGGTTTCTTTTTAAGTTTCCTTCATTTGGCTACAGATTATGACTTTCTCCTGATGTCCTAACATGTCTTCATATAGGGACTTTATCTTTGTTTTTCTGTCTCAACTCTGAACTCTTCAAATTCATGTCAGTTCTTTATTCCATATTATATGTGCAATGTCTGCTGCATATACAACTATCAATCAATTAGAATTGTGTGACCACCAAGAAGTTGGGTTAAATACAGGTTTATTGTTAATTTTTAATATAAATATGAAACGTTATTTTTACTGATGTTCATTTATCATAATAATAAGCCTACTCGTTTTGGTAAAACTTATTCTCAGTAGTTTAAAAATGAGAATCATCTCTGTAGAGTTGATTTCAGCCCACTGCAGTATTTTCAGGATTATCTCTGACTCTTTTGCCCGACTGAAATGCGTTTTTTTCTTATCAATGTTTATCATTACTTTGAGTTGAAGGAAGTTTCTTTGACAGCTTACTGAGAAATAAATGATATAGGCTTATAATTGGCTGTGTAAAATAAATCTTATGAAAAGAAAGATTATACTCTTGACCAAGTATAGAATAAGATGAAATGTTAGATTGTCCTTCCAGATTCTGTCTCTCCATGAGTCCTTTAAACTTTCTTTCCTTTGGAATTCTTTTCAGCAACTTGTTTTCACATCTTATGTTGATAATCAGTGATATAAGATTCAGAGCTACAGCAAACGCAAGGGAATTCATTCATGGCACATCATGTTTAAAATGTCAGCATATAATGACACAATTTATTCATAATTCATGACCACCGGACATAAACATTTCAGTTTAAGTGTTTGCTTGCATTTTATTATTCTACAGTGAAGCAAGAACATTCAGAGAACAGAAGGACAGAAGATCAGTGACAGTTTTAAACAGTTGCCACTGTTCAGCTTATGGATTGCTTGACTTTTAATTATATCCATTGTGCTTTCTTGTTTTTCTTCATTGGACTCTCATCTGTGAGAACCAGTAATACTCTTGAGCACAAGAGGATTGCTGTATTACTACTGTCTTACTATGCTAATGGTGATATTCTAGACTTAGTTATTAAAACTCTCATGAGTTTTTTTCCTACAAGTTTTCACATAGAAATCATAACAAAATTTGAAA